ATTAAACCAATGGCCCTAACATACTTCTGAAACCAAAATCTTGTGTTCCAACATGTCCAAGTTACTTACATAAATACTGTAGAAGTGATGAACTAAAGAACTATACATGCTACAGTAATGGTAAGATAGTTATGTGAGCAAATCCTGGGAAGAGGAAAATGTATCCTATGTTTCTTTATTGTGTGTGAGTACATTATGTACGTAAGAGGCTAGCCCTGCTGTCAGCAGGACATTAGGACTGATAACTTCTCATTTTCAAACTACGTTAATCTATGCACTTTGAGATTGGTTGTATAGTTTAAGGAAGGTGAGGTGAAAACAAAGAAGAAAGAAAAAACCCTAATATCTAAGTTTAAAAAAGCATTCAAACAAGAGAAGCAAAGCTGAAATGTCACAGTGCTGCAGGTTTGTGGAGTGGTTTCCTATTCTGCTATATTTGATCCTAAACCAAATTACAGATATGATTTCGGTGTGGGAATGATTAGTACTTGGGAATATTCCTGAGAAGCAGAAGACACTCCTCTGGACCATAACTCCATCATACTGCTTTGCATGGACTACTGTTTATGTAGCTAATTGCAGCAATGGCCTCAGTTCAGGCACTGGCTGCAGTGCAAGCATATACACACTAGCTTGCAAGCACACACTCCAGTTCCTATTTTCTAGATGGAAGTCTGGGACGTGTACATTTTCTTACCACTGCACATATTTATGCATATTGCAGAGATACACTTCTGTAAAGGATAATAAAAAATGTTTTTATAAATACATTAATGGCAAAAGCAGGGGGGCAAGGAAAACTTCTGTTCTTTATTGGACCTGGTGGGGAATACAGTTACCAAAGGTGAGGAAAGCTAAGGTACTTAACACCTTCTTTGCCTTAGTCTTCACCAATAAGACAGGTCATCCTCAGGACAACCAGTCTCCTGAGCTAGTAGACAGGGACACAGAGAAGAACAGATCCCCTGAAATCCACAATGAAGCTGTTAGTGACCTGAGGAGCCACCTCCATGCTCACCAGTCTATACGACCAGGTGGGATCCATCCTGAGTGATGAGGGAGCTGGCAGAAGAGCTCATCAAGTTGCACTCCATCATTTATCATCAGTCCTGGCTAACCAGGGAGGTCCCAGATGAGTGGAAGCTGGCCAGTGTGATGCCCATCTATAAGAAGGGCCAAAAGGAGGATCCAGGGAACTGCAGGCCTGTCAGCCGGACCTCAGCGCCCAGCAACATTATGGAACAGTTCATCTTGAGTGTGACCACATGGCACTTACAGGATGGCCTAGGGATTCAGACCCAGCCAGCATGGATTTAGGAAGGGCCAGCCATGACTAACCAACCTGATCTCCTTTTATGACCAGGTGACCCGCCTGGTAGATGTGGGAAAGGCTGTGGATGTTGTCTACCTGGACTTCAGCAAAGTCTTTGACACCATCTCCCATGGAATAATCCTGGAAAAGCTGACAGCCCATGGCTTGGACAGGTGCACTCTTTGCTGGGTTAAAAACTGCCTGAATGGCCAGGCCCAGAGAGTGGTGATGAATGGTGCTGTCTCCAGCTGGTGGCCCGTCACTAGCGGTGTCCCCCAGGGATCTGTGTATGGGCCCAGTCCTGTTTAACATCTTTACTGATGATCTGGATGAAGGGATCGAGTCTACCATTAGCAAATTTGCAGATGACACCAAATTGGTTGTGAATATCAATCTGCTGGAGAGTAGGAGAGCTCTGCAGATCAACGTGCATGGGCTGGATTGATGGGATGAATCCAACAATATAAAGTTTAACAAGACCAAATGTCAGATCCTGCACTTTGGTCACAACCACCCCCTGCAGAACTACAGGCTGGGAACAGTGTGACTGGACAGTGGCCAGGCAGAAAGGGACCTTGGGGGTACTGATTGGCAGCAGCCTGAACATGAGGCAGCAGTGTGCCCACATGGCCAAGAAGGCTGGTGGCATCCTGCCCTGGATCAGGAATAGTGTGTCCAGCAGGATGAGGGAAGTGATTCTTTCTCTGTACTCAGCACTGGTGAGGCCATACCTTGAGTACTGTGTCCAGTTCTGGGCCTCTCAATTTAGGAAAGATGTTCAGATGCTGGAGCATGTCCAGAGAAATGTAACAAGACTGGTGAAGGATCTGGAGTACACATCCTATGAGGGGCAGTTGAGGGAGCTGGGGTTGTTAAGCCTGGGGGAAAGGAGGCTCAGGGGAGAGACCTTATCACTCTCTACATCTCTACAACTCTCTCAAAGGTAGTAGGCAGGTGGCAGTTGATGTCTTCTCTGAGACACCTAGCTGCAGGACAAGAGCAGTTTAAGCTGCACCAGTGGAGGTGTAGGCTGGACATTAGGAAAAAGTTCTCCACAGAAAGAGTGATTGGGGATTACAATGGGCTGCCAAAGGAGGTGTTGGAGTCACCATCCCTGAAGGTGGTTAAGAAAAGACTGGACGTAGCACTTAGTGCCATGGTCTCGTTGATAAGGTAGCGTTAGGTCATAGGTTGGACTCAATGATCTCAAAGGTCTTTTCCAATCTGGTTTATTCTATGATTTCAGGTCATCTTTTCCTCTGAAACAGAGGTTGGTTTAGTTTGGTTTTGGGGGGGTTCTTTTGGGTTTGGTTTTTTATGTCTTTTTAGTCTGCAGCATTCTCTCTCTCAGAGGAAAAAAGTCTGCATTTCTCCATCACTTACTCATGTATTTTCATGTCCTTCTGTTTGTCTCTCTTTTAACACTTTCCTTGCTTTATTGCACTCAGAGGCAGCATAGGAAATCCCATTCAGCACTGGTGCATCACAGGCTAGAACGAAATAGTAGTCGTTCACTCACATCTGAGTTGTTGCTAAATGACTAACACATCAAGAAGCAGCAAGATGGAAAAAAAGGTAGTTCTGAACATGCATAGGATGGAGGTCAACTATATTTGGGCAACTGTTGTAATCCAGTAGTCTTTTGGAGCATGAAAACTGCCGTTCTTCCATTGTTTTGGGGTGAAAAAGTGAATCCATTTCCTCTAGAATACAATTCTAGAGGAATACCACTAGAATACAATTCACATTACTCAACATTGCACCTGTTCCGACTGACTACAGCTTGCAGTGCATTTTCAGTAACTAATGTCCTAAAAGCAACAGTGACCAATTTAGTATCTCACAGGCGGTTTTGAGTATGTAACTGTATTAGCTGCAATTCTGACCAAAGTGCTTTCTACTTCAGGCACAATCAGAAGCAAGTGACACAACTTCCATCATCAGCCTGTTTGAATCACCTCTTGGGACAGATAACACCTAAGTCCTTGCAAATCTGTTTCGGATAAATAGCAGCATTTACGGCTTTAACTACTGTGTGACTGCAATTCACAAGTGTAATCTACATTCAACACAGGAAACTTGTGATGTTAACAGGAGGCTGTGGAGCATGTAACTCCTCAAGGAAGAACATCCAGTTCTGGCTTCAGAATTGAAAGCAACATCTTAGCGGCAACCAAAGAACTGCGGAAATACAGATCACATGCACAAAACAGTTCCCAAGTGTTAGCAACTCTACAGTGGTTGAAACTTGCCTAAAAGACATAGCAAGTGCTGCACTATGCCTTGTTAGCTAGTACCTCTCTCTCTTATACTCCATCACCCAGCAGACACTGGTGCCAGTATTTTGGGTTTGTTATTGAGCTGCACAGAAAAGGGTATCATCAGCAAACAAATATCACCACAAGCGTTGCTGACAGACAATTTTTATAGTGATTTTTTAGTTGATCAAAGGTGTTCATTGCATGAGAAAGTGTTAGAATTTGGTTAGACTGAGGCACTTGGTTTTTCCTTACCCTTTTTTTCAACAGTTCCAGATACAGAGTTTGTAACAACTGGGGAGTGTTCAAGAAGGCCTGAGCTGCAGCAAGAGCCTCAACATCTGCTGACCTGGGTTCATGTGTCTGCTCTGCAATACAAAGACTCCATGACCCTGGAACTGCACACTGCTTAGTGAAAGGACTTCAGAGAAATGAAATGCAATAGAACAGAATTATATGTATTCAAGTACCAGCCGCAAACAGAACAATCACTGAATGGCCCTGGTATAACTGGTCACTTTTGCCTCTACACTTCTGCCAGTGCAAGAGCAAGGGCAAATTAGATGCATGGAAAAAGTGAGGCAAATAATATGGGGAAAAGATCTGCTCCACATAATCAGACTAAATGCAATTTCATTCTTTTTTCTGGCTGCAGCAGTAGCCAGGAGAAAGAAGAATGGAATGAATACATAAGTATTCTTTGAACTTTCCCTGCTATTTATTCTCTCCCCAACCATGTGGGCCAGCAACTTTCTGAGCCTCCAGCTAAATCCAAACTGCAGTGGAATCACTTCACTCTGGAATCTATCTTCCTTCAACTCCTCTAGTCCATCCTCAAATGTATTTCTGTTGTTTGTCTTGAGACCCACTGTGGGAACTAAGTTTTTTTTTATGCCCTTGTTCATTCCTGTCATTGTTGTCAGACTTCAGCTGTCTGCAGGTTTCTGTGCAAGCCAATCCAGATATTTTTGCTGTAGAGAAGTGGATTGAGGTCAGCATTTCCAGCATTTCCAGATCCTAGCACTTATTATGCTCAGATAAGTGGAATGAATTATCACTTGGATGTACTCTGTCCCTACCTTAAGTTAAAAAGAAAGCTTAGACAATAGAATTCTTCATATTAGGTGAAATGAATTCCAGTAAATGTGTGTTGGCAAATTCACACAGAAGATCTGTGGCAGGGTGAAAAACCAAGCTTGGGTTTCTCATTCATTCTGTCATTCATCCTAACATAACTGTTAAAAGAGTTATCAACAACTTCCTTTACCCTCTGTTCCTAAATAATCCAAAGTCTTTACCTTTATTAGTCCAGCCATATCGAATTACGTATGTCTACAGTGTAGACAGCTTCCACTGTGCATTATCTCAATTAATAACCAGAAACTCTTGTAAACTCACTATATATTCAGGATGCCAAGTCTTTTACTTACCACAGTGCCTGTCTTGAAAAGGAGGTAATGGACTGTCTGTGAGACATCTGCAGCATGCATTAGGTTGTGATAAGGATTTTTGTGCTTACTGTAGCCAGCCTCCAGAGCTTCCACAAAAGACACCAAGGCAGATATGGGAATCTAAGTAAAGCAGCACAGAATTAAAGAAAGGGGGAAAAAAAAACTAACAAAAAAGCATCACCAAACAAATACCCACAAAAACTCCCACCTTTAATGGCTAGCATCCAGACAGGAGTATTTTGATAATAGGTTCTCAAAGAGCCACTTCACAAACAAACAAAATGCTAGAACATTTGAAATAGTCATTCAAGAGAGAGAGTGAATTCAGGTTACTACTTCAAATTGGTTTTCCCATCCATAATTACATTACATGTGACTCCTTCTCACAAATAAATACACAAAACATATATACTATGAAATGTTGTCTGGAGCAGACAGAGTATGAAAAGTAACAGCAACCGCTGGATTGATTGCCATGGAGAAATATTTCCAAATAGATTGCAAGCAACTGCCTGTTACCTTCATGATCAACTGGAATATATCTCTGCTTTACTATTCACATTTAAAATTTTCTAATGAAACACATGATATAGCAAATCCTAGATAGTCTAAGAGGAATATAATTTATCAGACCTCTGGGTTTTCAGAGCAAAATCTAGCCTGCCCATCCAATGGGATTGCCATGTTTTTCTGCCTTCAAGAGTAACTGCAATTATCTGACAAAATGCAATTCAGGGGATTTCTAGAAAGGAGACTATGCAGGTGGTAACATATGTTACTGACAATATGGGTTCTCCAGTTTCCTCTGCTCAGACAGCAAATATATTAAACACTAAGGTTTCAATATAAAAGATCACTGCTCTTCTTCTCTTAGGTACATTTAAGCAGAGGATGCAGTTCTAAGCAGACATCTTGACGTCTCATCAGGCATAGGCAGTTCCTGAAAAATCTAGGCATCTGTAAACTCTTTCCAGTCAAAGTGAGTTGGAAACCCCTCAGAAATGGAAATGTCAACAGAGGAAGGGATGACAGAGTATGTGCGTGGGGACAGTGGTCAAGAACTGCATGGCAATATTTCCTCTTCAAAGTTGGAGGAAACCTCTGTAACAATTACAAAATTATAGAATAGTTTGGGCTGGAAGGGACTTTGAAAAGTCACCTAGTCAACCAGCCCTGCAATGAACAGGGACATGTTCCCTTATATCTAGTTTAAATCTATCCACTTTTAGTTTAAAATCATTAGCCCTTGTCCTGTTGCAACAGGCCCTGCTATAAAGGTTTCTTCCATTTTTCTTATACATCCCCTACAAGTACCAGAAGGCTGCAATAAACAATCCACAGAACCTTCTCTTCTCCAGGCTTAAAAACATTGACCCTGTTGGCCGTTCCTCACAGGAAAGGTGCCCCAGCCCTCTGATAATTTCTGTGGCCCTCCTCTACAATGGCTCCAACAGTCCATGTCTTTCCTGTGCTGAGAACTCCAGATCTGGATGATCTGGATGCAGTACTCCAAATGGGGTCTTATGAGAGTAGAGTTGGGAGTAGAATCACCTACTTTCACCTGCTGGCCAACCTAATTGGAATGAATTTGAATTTGCTTTCATACTCTCCTGTTCTCTTTTGTTCTCTCTTCCTGAGCCTATGAAGCTCAGGAAAATGACACCATCATTCTCAGAGGACCAAATGCAGTATTTCAGATGGATTTCATTTAGAACCCCACCTAGTTCATGGCATGTCATTGCAATTGACAGTACTATTTAAATCACATCTGTTTTTGCTTATTAGGGAAAGTGCAATGTTTACAAATTCTTCAAAGATCACTAAAATTGCATTTTTAATTGAAAAAAGCAGGATGAGAGGGAAGTTGAAAAAAGATAGCCATCTTCTAACTACTGACCTTGAAACGATTGATCAGATCATAGCGTGTGAGAAGTTCATAGAAAATGAATTTCAGTGCATGATCCCCACTGGCATCATTTAGCGCAAATACATCAAAGGACCATTTGTCTACATTCTGCAAGAGGAGGTAGAAAAGACAGTTAATATGGTTATCATTTTTACCATATCATTCCATTTCTTCACTTTCACAATTTGAGAATTCCAGTAGTGATGTAAAGGTGTCATTATTTTTCAATAAATTCTTCATAATCCATTTAACCAATGAATATGTATCAGTATACTTATTTGTGCTGTGTGATTTATGTTTAAGAAGCTTCCATTAAGAACACATATGCTGTTTTTTTATTCTAAACACAGCAGTTCTCTACACTGGAATTTAATTGCCAAAAGATGAATCCTAAAATGTAAAAATCCTTATTTGTTTTAGTACCTGAGACATGAAGATGGTCCTATTTGGGCTGATGTGGTACACTAAGTGCTAACAATTATATAAAATTCTAATCTTTATAACAGAAGAATAAATATCAAATTCCAGTTGGGAAAGTTACAGTCAGCTTTAAATTACCTACTAGTGTTTCAGGCTGGTCAGTCAAGAGATCCAGGAGGGGAAGTTCACTTCTCAGCTCCTACATCTAAACTTTAAGGTCTAATCTTCTTGCAGAAGTTTGAATGTGAATCTCAAATGTTAGGGAAGGCTGTGGGAGGTGACAGCATTCATTATCTAGCAAGAGATGAAGAGAAACACTAATTCTTTCTAAATGCTCAGTTTCCTAGGTTTCTGTCTCTTCTTAACCTTTGGGGACTTGATATATAAGTCAACAAGCAAATTCAGGGATAGATGTTATTCTGCTCAACCTTATTGGAAGGAACAACATTTTTGTAGCCACAGATAAGCAGAAGTCTATACTGCAGACATTGTAAGTGACTACAGGTTCTGTGTTCATTACCTGTATATTTGCTAGCCTAGAAAATATTCCTGTCATGGCATGGGCATCAAAAAAGGCTGAAAAATTCAATTCTAAACCATGTAACTTCTTCAGCAGTAATTAATGTTAGACAGTGAGGTTCTGTATCTAGCACTAGACTGATGAACAGCAGATCACCACAGCGTACTCTGTAAATGTGTCTCTATGAATGGTTTGTATAACCACTATTCAAATGAAAGACAAGGCTGATTGTCCTTTTATGGCAACCAGTCTTTTATCTCACAGCCATGTCACACAGAAAGGCAACAGATTACTGCAGTAGAAAAATTAGTATAAAATATATATAAAGAGAGAGGGATGCTGTGCACTAAATTAAAAAAAAGCCTAACTTCTCATCCACTGAAAAAATGGGACGGATTATACATCTAGAACTTGTGCTGCTAGAGCCTTCATTTTTTTGGTAGAAATTGCAGTATTTCATTCTTTTTAAAACCAACCTCTGTTGCAAAGCTGTGATTCCACAGCTTTGAGTTATTTAGTGCAGATGTCGTCTTGACGACAGCAGCAAAAATGAGAATTTGTAGTTAAAACATAAGCTTGTTTTGACTTCATTTCATCTCAGTCCTTGTCCTTATTAGCATGACTCTGAGGGGAATGTTGATTATGGCAATCCAGAACAGCTGAAGATGTGTGTGTGGGGTACACTCCTACACCCTTTTACATGCTTAAATCATCAGGTCATTTTACAGAGCACACTGAGCAGTCAGGTCACTGTAAGCGTTTTTTAATTGACCTTACTGGACTGAAGCAAGCAACAAAATACACCATTTTCAATGGAGGAAATGGGACTGAGAAATTTCAGATGAAATATGGTTTTTAACACAGAAGACTTCACAGAATCCTAGAATATGCTGAGTTGGAAAGGACCCACAAGGATCATCAAGTCCACCTCCTAGTCCTTCACAGGACATCCCCAAGAGTTACACCATGTGCCTGAGAGCATCATACAAATGCTTCTTGAACTCCATCAGGCTTGGTGCTGTGACTACTTTGCTAGGGAGACTGTTTTGCTTTCTTCAAAGTCACTCCCATTTCAACCAAATCCATTACCAGCTCCAAAAATATCCAAGCAAAGACATGTTCTCAAAACAGTTTTGGAAAAAAAAATATATTCTAGAGTGCACAGTGACCAGGTAGATGCTACTTCACTCTGGGGAAAATTATGCCTTTGTTGTTATTGGTTTGTTTTAACTTATTCTAATATGATCACTTATTACAATCTAATCATTTGAAAACATAGAAAAAATGGAGGAATTCTATAAAGCTTAAGTAGGTTGAGAGTAGATGATGATTCTTCAACTGTCTTGTTACTGTGGAGGAACTCAGGAGAAGAGGTACCATTATAGATATCTTCTCTCATAAGATGCTATAGACTGTAGTTGCAAAAGAACAAAGAATTTATATCCCCTTTCAGGAGTGAAGCAAGTGAAGCTAGCACTAGTCAATATGCAGTTGGAAAAAGGTGCCGGTGGATACTTTGATTCTGTATAGGAAGGGCATGTTTGATCATTCTTCTTGCAATTCCACCACATCTTTTGATAAGTTCTACTATTCAAAATGAAAAGGATAGCTTAACTGCAAATCTTTTCAGTGTGGAGAAATGCTGCAAGATGTCTTAATGAGTTTTATACTTAATACCCCTCTGTATTGCTCCACTATATCACCTTTTTTCACTATTGCATGACGTGGTTGAACCACATGCAACACGTAATCTGCAAAACTGCTGTGTAGGCAGCTAGTTGTCAACTTGTTTGTAGTCTTGATAATTCCTGCCTAAGTCAAGAATTTTGCCATTGTCCCATGGATTGAAGCACTGTTTATTTTTCAGACTACTTCTGACTGTTTTCACTCTGAAACCTCAAAACTCAAAGAAGGGTCCATTTTTATAAAGTGATTGTCACTTTGAAGACCTGAAGCTGAACAGAATGCAAGAAATTCCCTTCTCTCACAGCAACAGATCCTTTCCCTTCTCCATCTCTCTCCATCTGCATTTTCTTTCTTCCTTGTGAAATATGAGTGATTTCTAAATCTTCATTTTAATCACTGTAATCTAGAACAGAATTGCAACCTTCGCAACCTGAAAATGACCACAGTCTTAAAGTTCATTCTTTCTTTTATTGAAAGGATAATCCCTTAGGCCAGTTAAATGATTAATGTATGGGAACTAACTGAATGTCAGAGAGAAAGAAAGACCAAGAATTAAGACTCCCCTTATCATGTCAAATATCACAGTATTATTTTTATGCTTTGTACAGACCCCCCTTCAACACCTTTTTATTGGGATTACCTTTAGCACTCCAATTACAGCTGGTGGGTAGCTCAAGCCGACCATATTTGAAGTACGCCTGTACATTCTACCAAGATTAAATAGATAAAGCAACACATAAATATAATTAAATGAAACAAAACAAACAATCAACAAAACTCATAAAACAACAGACAAGGAGACCTTGTTTACAGGAGACCTTGTTTAGCATAGAAAACCCTAATTGGAATATGGACCTTTTTTCCTTCCATTTTGTTCCTAACTTGCCCAATATTCTCAATACTATTCTTATTGTATAGCTTAATTTGAGATTGTACACTCCCCAGTATCTCACAGCTTGGTTACTGAGCTGAACATGACAAACAATTTGCCAGTACCAGGTCTTCATCAGATGGAAATACTACACTCAAATGAACAAAATTTTCCCCATTTTCCATTGCACATAACTGTACTGACCTTTCAGTTCCCTTAGTCCTTGCTGGCCCACATGCAAGCTAATTCTGAGTGTACTTCAGAAATCATTTGTATGAAATGAATCAACTTCAGTGTGATACAGCTGTTTTTTTTGTCTGCGTGTTTTCAAGATTAGTATAAAACCTTTTCAGTGTTTGCCATGTGTCTGTGTTTCAGGGAGTGAGAGAAAAAGAACAAGGCAATAATCAACATCTGTAACCATATTAAACAAAGTATGTAATGTGCCAGATTTTAAACTTGATTATAAAGTATATTTTAAACAGATTATAAAGTATGTACAAGTTTTTCAAATTGTTTTCAGGACACACTGTGTTTAACAGGATTTGGGAAATGTAGAAACTCTGTCAGAGCTAGAAGCTCTTTCCACAGGTCACCTTTTTTTTGCCCTAAAGCACTGTAGGACTAAAAGGAGATGATGGAAAGTTCTCTTCTCCCATCTAAATGATCCTGTGCAAAGTCTTCCTTCACTGCCGTTTTTGTCATATTCTGCACTCAGACCTCAAAAAAGTCATTCACCTTTGGAGACTTATATTTGCCCATTCCCAAATCACAGAATCTCTTATCCCTTCCTTTCTCTAGTCTGAAGCTCCATGGCATTCTCTTAAGAGACAATTGAGGCAGAATCCCTTTCCCTTAGCTCAGGAGAGTCACAACCCTCTTCCAGTGCCATATTATATCTGAACACTTCCTTCTTTGGGTCACAGTGATCCAGGTCAGCTGGAAAACACCCCACTGAGCCAGCTTTCTGCATTTACTTCCTTGTTGAGCAAATGCCCCATAGAATGAGGGTTAATTCACAAGAAGCCTATCAAACCTTGGAGAAATCTGTCCCAAGGAGAAATTAGAGGTTTAGTCTTATTACAGTTTGCTGCTACTCTTAACACATGTACAGTAACTTTAATGCACAGACAAAAATATTAGCTATAGTCATGACAAAGGAGGCTTCTGTGAGTATGTGTGGATTGTGGTCCACTGTCTGATATGCATAACCTCCTGCACAGAGGGCTGTTAGGCTGTCACTGCAATTGTGATCAACAGTGAAAGATGTTCTGCTCTTCCACTCCTGACTTGAATTTTGCTGTTACAAAGTTACACCAGAGATATGAGAGCTGCTCTCTTTCAGGGTGTCCAAAGAATGCTGACAGTTTCACATATGCCAGCCCTCCTCCTGGCTTAAACAAAGAAGGTCAGTGAAGAGTGGTTACTTGACAAGAAAAGGTAAGATTAGGAGTCCATATTGAAATGAATAAATGATTTAAAGGGTTAAAAAAGTAAAATCAGTTTTAGTAACAGGTTGTGATGTAAATCACAAGAGGGAAGGCTTAAAGAACTCAATGGCTTTTTTGAAATCCTCTCTAAGCTCCAGAATTTTCACATCAGTTTTGATCTATGGTTAGCTCCAGTAATAATATGGTAAAGGACTTTGTTCTGTGTCTTAGAACTTCTTCATAAGAAATACTAGACCACAAGAAGTAAACGGAAGCAAGGGAGAGTTTGATCTGTCCAAATTTTAAATGCTGTCACTCCTGATCTAGGACTATGCAGAAGTGTATATTGTCCATCAAAATTATACCGTGTGCTATTACATCTGTACTATAGTAAGAACAGAGGACTAGGTACTGTTTCAGTTTGCAGTCTTTTACTAAATCACATGGTTTTAGGTGTTACCCAGATCTATGTAGAAACATTAACAGAAGCACATTAAAGTGTTCTTCATTCAGCAGTCTTCCACTAGTCCTCTGAGGTCTTCTGGCCTAAGGTACTCCTCTCCACCTCCTGTCATTGTGCCATGACATACTGTAGGTGAAACCTGCAGTACCTGGGTAGATAGTAGAATAAAGTAATTACATAACACTTCACCTTTCCACAAATATCCCAGCTTGCACTGCATGGACGATACTCCTGAACCGGGGTTTTTCCTCAGTCCTTTTAAGCATCATCCCCATTTGCCGTGTGAAGGTAGAAGCCAACCAGTCACGGACCTCTGAGGGCACAGAGTCAGACTGGATATCACTGAGTTCATCTTCTGTGTCCAGTAAACGCCTAGAAGGATGAGGAAACTGAAGGGTAAACAGAGTTCCTTAGAGAGTACTACAACATTATTAAAAAAGAAACTCATATATATTCTAATTAAAGCAGCTGTTAAAAGTCCTTGATTCAACAGCCTTAATAAAACACACTAGTACAACTCTTCAACTGTTTGTTTATTCTCTTACGTACTTACATTTCAGATTGTGGAACTCGCTACTAGGCTGAGAAACAAGGCGTATCAGCCTTCTGAAGCAAAACTACATGATCCTCTAATATCTTTACATCTTCAGCTCATCATATTTCTGAACTTTCTGCCTTTCAAAGATAATTTATGGTCATTTCTGGGAATTTCTAGCATCTGAGTTGGTAACATACAGTCCTCTCCTCTCCCATTCTGGTCATCTGTGTTGACTCTAGAAGTGCATTAATCACTGGGTAAATGCATGTAACCAAGAGGGGGGAACTCCTCTGCAATGTCTTGCCAGTCTACCTCTGTTCATGAGTTACTTTTTTTTAATTTCAAAGACATCATACAAGTGAAAAATTTAACATTGTTCAGAAGAAATAGTTGAGTCTACTCAGGCTGCAATAACTATGAAAGCATTTCTCTAAGAAAAAGTGTATTACAGTTATGTTTGGTTTTGATCTCCTTCCCTTTTCCAGGAAACTAAAGAACTTTTTAAATGAAGGACTGAATATCTCTTCTAAGCAGAATACAATATTCTTATGATTAAAACCATATTGTCTACAAGTAACAAATCTTGGCTCAACCAACTTTCACAACTGGGATGTAAATTACAACTGGTGCCAGATATGAGTGCTGATGCCTGTAGTTAGCTCACCTAGTTTCATCAATGTATACTGACTCAAGAACAGTCGCTGCATATTCCAAATTCTTCTTTAGATCTACAACTGAAGCTTCCCCTCTCTCCAACTGCTTTACCAAAGACCGTAATCTAAAGAAAGGAAAACAAAAATCTGATTATTATAAAGCAAAATAGGTTTAAAGTGAGTGTCAGTTCCCAGGATGAGACCTTGCATACACCTTGACAGGTGAGAACTTTTGGAAGTCTACAAGATTTTGAAGTTTTTTTCATGTTGATACATGAAGTCAACAAAAATTACTTTTCAAAGATCAGTTACAATGATGCCAGGTAAATATACATAATTCCATGGGTTATCACAGAATCACACAAACACAGAATGATAGAATATGATGAGTTGGAAGGGACCCATCAGTATCACTGTGTCCAGCCTCTGACCCTACACAGGACACCCCAAGAATCACAACATATGCCTGAGAGCATTGTCCAAAGGCTTCTGAACTCAGACTCCTTGAGTCCTGTCACTAGTTATGAGAGGGAAGAGATCAGTATCTGCCCCTTCACTTCCCCTCAAGAGATTGTTGAAGACTGCAGTGTTTCCTCTTAGTCTCCTCTTCTCCAGTCTGAACAGATCATGTGGTCTCAGTCACTCTTTGTAAGGCTTCCCCTTCAGATCTTTCACCATACTTGTGGCTTTCCTATGGACACTTTCTTATATCTTATATTGTGGTGCGCAAACTGCACATAGTACTCAAGGTGAAGCCATACCAGTGCAGAGCAGGGCAGGACAATCACTTCCATTAATCAGCTGTCTGTTCCCTACTCAAAACTGAAATAAGACGAATAGAAATTACTTTAAATTTAACACAGGAGCTAAGAGAGGACAATTTCAATTCAGCCATAAGAAGAAACTTCTTGAATAGTATCTGTTAACAAATTACTCTTATTCCTAATGATTGACATACACATGCAAAACTCTATTAGAGTATACTTAGAAACACTATTGTAGAAATACTATACCAGGTTACGAAATGCGATGATTTTCATTAGATCAAGCAGCCACCATATATCTCCTGTATATTAAACAGTACTCACTGCTTTCACATTTGACTAGTAAGCATTGCTTCATATGCCTCCTTGTTTCTTCATTCCGTGTATGGGGAGTCTGCAGTTATGACCACTTAACTAGCTACCAGAAACACTGTACACAACCCACAGCAGTCAATTTTACAGAAAGAACATGACCTTTGGTTCTTCCTGACTTAATTGATATAAGTAATTGGTAGCTTTATGCTGCAACTCATTCAAAACTCATGTTCAATAATAGCACAGTGAGTAATGATTGCTTCTTGGAACCAACATTCTTCAATGAACATTATGCAAAGTACTATGTGCATCAATCATTTAGAAAAACAGAAGTACTGCTGTTCCTCACACCATCATGTGAAAAAATTACACTGTCTTTGTCTTACCATCCATTATATTTAACTACTGCTGATTCATTGAGGCACTACTCTATTCATTGAGCAGCTACTCCCAATTAATTGTATTAAATAAGAGCCTGGTGATAGTTTGCCTTTAATGTATGTGTTTTGGTTTGTTTTTTTTTTTTTTTTTAATAATCCTAAATGGAATGAAGAGAATCCAGGAAAATTTACTACCTGAAAAATTCTGCTTCAAGGTGGCTGAAATAATTTTGAAATTCAACCAAATTCACCTGTGGCACTTAGGAACACAGTTAAGTGAGAGCTTGGCAGTGCTGGGTTAACGGTTGGACTCAATGATCTTAGCAGCCAACTCTAAGATCAACTCATTTGTGATAACATTCCTTTGAGAGCCAGATCAAATAGCTTTTAAAAAAAAAGTAAAACCAACAACAAACTTTATAAATTAACAAAATAGTTATCAGAAATAGACCTGACTGCATAAAAGCTGGCTTCGGTATACACACAAAAAAGTTTGGAAAATAAGCATCTGCTGAACTGAAAGACAAAACCCTTCCTTCTGATCTTCAGCACATTCCTCGCTCTCCTCTGGAAAACCACCATAATTACTGGTAAGAAATTCTTACTAAGTTTGAGAAGCAGTGAACCATATCAAAGAATTCCTACATAGAAATAGGCATGCATCTGCCATCTCATTATAATTGACAAGCTTGATAAATTGGATATTCTGAGAGTCATACCAGAGTTAAAGAGCATGTGCAGACTATCTAAGCACATAGACGGTCTGACAGATGCCCTGCAACAGTATCTGTCTGCCTGTTGGGGTATAAAAAAACTGTAAAGCAAGTACACAGGATATTTAACACTGCCCAAAAGTATCCAGCGCAGACTACAGGTGGTTATGCATGTAATGGACATGTGCAGTAGTTTCAGTCAACTGGGCGGACAGATGTCTCCACAGTTTGCATAGTGTAGGAGCATTGGGGGGTAGGATGGTCGGGACGGATGGAGACGAGAGATCTCTGAAGCTGGGTCATTGTACTTGTGGTTTATTGCAAAGGGCATGGGTGCAGGGCCCTGCTGGGAGCTGCCAGCCACAGCTCGGAGCAGGCCTGAGAGAAGAGAGGGGTAGAGAGGGTGGGAGAGGGTAAGAGCATAAAAGGGTAAGAGAGCAAAATCATAAGAGAGTAAAAGGGGTAAGAGAGCGAAGTTCTCGTTACAATACAATAAATCTTCTTCTGTGTTGAATATTCTAATTCTCACTAACCAGTCTAGTACAATATACAAATCTTACAGCATTTACATACAGCCTATAAGAATCATTACTTTACCATACTGTGTTACATTTTAAACCCTAAAAATTACTCTTTGGACCCCTTCTGCCAAGCTAGTAGGGTCTGCTCTGAGCCTTGGACCTGTCTGCAAGCAGAGGGTATTTTTTCATCAAAAGGGGATTACCTTCAGCCAGCCACACCATTGTCTTCCAATTGTTCACTAACTAAGGTATCTCAAAGCTTGCTTTCATTTCAATCTCGCTTATAGTCTCTATATTCTCAAAATCTTTTGCCAGACAATCATATTTATAAGGCTTTCCTGTTTCATCTTCCCCAACAGCAAAGCAAATCCCTGAAACCCATTCCAAGAGAGAATTGGCGGGAGAAATAAAGCATACACAAGAAGTAACCTAGAAGTTCAACACCTCTTTTTACAACAGTCACTGGGTATTATTCATTCCACACTCTGCCACATCTTAATGTAAGGCTCTGCATACGTATATAATGTTTTCACTGTGAAAAAGACACACCTAGAAAGCCAGGTCATGTTGCAATACTCAAAACTAAAAATAGAGTAACTGGTAGCCTGTGACACAATGAATTTTTATTAGGCTGGATAGCTATCTTCTGTCACTACTTTTGTATACAAAAAAATGCAAGTCACAACATTCAGAGGAAATAAAAACATGTGCAAAGAGCAAACGCACAGTACTGCTACACTGGCATTTTAATCCAAAAGAATTATATGCAATTTCCCAAGTAATTGCTTTGCCTTCTTCATGTTTCCTAAAATATTCTCCTTCTTTTGAATAAAAATACAAACATTTAAAAAATTAAATAATCAATTATTTTTATTATTATTAGAAGCATGAAAGTACAATGATGATAAGTTCAGTGGCCTTGGCAGGATGGTAAAAAGCTTGTTTCAACTCACCTTGAGTGGAACATGAAAGAATGTTGAGATAAACTTTTGACAACATTAGTCAACTATAAGTGAAATCAAATAGTTTAGGTTTTCACTTCCCATTTATAAATTCTTTCATGCCTATCGAAGGAAGTCCTGCGCCAGAAACTTTAGCAAACTTTGGCTTACCGAATGATTTTCAATACAACAGCAGCCTAGGCACTTCCTCAGTGCCAGATCCTGAGAATTATCATTGTCTCCCTGTCCTACTACTGAGAACTCTAAAGGATGTGCACTCCTCCAATATGTAAACACCTCCCTCATTCTCAGGTTCTGAACATTGGGAATGGAATGAGGAAATATAAGCAGTTAAAAGGATTGGTCATGTTTTGTTTTTGTTTTTGTTTTTTTTTAATTCAAGTCAACTGCTTCACCTAGCACAAACCTTTTATAGAAATCAGATACACAGATGCTAATGGAAGTCACTGGGGGTGGATAGCAATGATAAACCACCTGTCTGTCATATACTTCCTCAGGAAAGTGTGCCTTCTCCCACTAGTGAAAGAAATGAGCCAGGAGATTATCTTAGGTGGTCATTGTGGCTTCAGAAGGCTAAGATGAGGTGAGATGAGTAATTCCACTGAATAAATGTGAGAGCTGAACAAGGATAAATTTCAGATGTGGGAGAGAAAGAAAGGCTGCTATATTCTTTTTTCACAACCAGCAATCTTCTAATCAGTATTTCCTAAAGCATGCCTTCCTGTTGGCAGACTAGTTCTTTTTGAGATATTAGTGTGAATTAGTTTTTCAAGGAAACTGTTCAAACACAATATAGTCACTGAATTTGTTGACAATGACACCCAAAGACAACAAACTATATCTTCCAGAATTAGGCATTTTCAAACCACTGTTGCCTTTTATAAAAAAAAACCAACATCCATTATAACACATCAGACACAAATCTAACAATTTTTAATTTGCATCTTTAAAAATAGGTACTTGAAAGAAACTGTCAATAAATATATTTAATATACAATAAATAGATAATATATTATACATATAATAAAACCATACACAATAAGATCACCTGCCCTGGACTTAGGAGAGCAGACTTTGTTATCTTTGGGGACCCGTGTCGTAGAGTACCCTGTGGTAGAGTCCTGGCGAGCAGAGTGGCACAAGAATACTGGCTAATATTCAAGGATCTCTTCCTCCAAGCTCAGGAACAATGCATTTTAACAAGAGAATATGGGGCAAAAATGCCAAATACATGGATAAGGAGCTGCTGAGGACCTCAGAGATAAAAAAGAAGTTTACTGAAGGTAGAAGCAAAGACAAGCCAAAGCCCAGTTAGAATTAAGTCTAGCCAGAGATGTCAAAGACAATAGAAAGAGCTTCTATAGATGTCCTGATAACAAAAAAAGACTAGGGATAATGTGGGCCCTCTCTAGGAGGAAGTGGGAGACCTGGCTACCTGGATAGGCCTGGAATATGGAGAAGACTGAGTTT